TCTTTCAACATTCCCTTATGGAACACGAAAGGATGCAAAGCAATTTTGCATCCATTTTCAGCAAGATAGTCTTAAAAGATGCCATGGTGGAGAGACTATGCCTCCCAATAAACGGGTCTGTCAAAATTTGTATTTATGAATATGATAAAAACCCTCATGAAAATTTAGAAGATACAAATATAATGGCCGGCATGTATTACAATCTTGAAACCGGGGCTGTATGGCTAATAAGGGTAATGTTAAAATAAGCTTTATAGTTCAATAGTTTAGGTTAATTAAAAAGTTAGTTTCCTCATCCAGTCTCCCCTGGTGATAACATCTTAACTTTACCAGAGTGCCTTTATTCCTACCAACTTTCCTCTAGTTCCTAAATGCTTCCTCCCCACCCACTATCATGATCCCAATTCTAAGAAACTAGCACTAGTGCATTGTTTTAATTTAACTCAACACCTTATTCAGATTTCCCCCATTTTCCCTAATGTCCATTTTTCCTCTGCCAGAATCCCCTTGAGGAGATAGATGGCAGTATATTTGGTCATCATGTCTCTGTAGCCCTTTCTGACTCTGTTCTTGCCAACGGATCAGTGGGGGGTTTTAAGATTATTACTGGAATCTGAGGGTTGAGAGCAGTGATAAAGTTCTATCTCCTGATGAGAGCAAGTATCTTTAAAAATTATTTGAGGTTGTTTAGCTTAGAACTTGTTTCTCTTTCCCTACTTTATTTGTTCAACTGATTAAATAAATTATATTTATCTATTCAAGTTATTAAATACATTTCATTTACTTATTCAATTGCTTATAAGAATATGGGCTGGCGGATAGTTATTTTGTACTTTGTTATAATACAATATGCTCTTTATTGTGTTGCTCAGATCATCCCAGGTTTGGTTATTAGGAGTTCTTCGTGCTGACTGCTTTGTCCCATGGACCTGCATGTCCCCACACCTCCTTTCCATAACCACTTCCTTTCTTCTTTTCTTGTGAGAGATGCTTCAGGGTCACCTTGTATGCTCATTGCCTCATTTTGGACTTCAATTAGCAAGACATAGTTTTCCATTAGCAAGCCTTGGTTTCTTGTATCAGAAAATGGTATTAGAAACCACGATTTTGGAATTATGAGATGCTGTTGTGTCAATTTTGACTTATGGTGGCACTCTGCACAACCCACTGGAACACTGCCCAGGTCTGTACCATCCTCGTCATTCTTGTTTGAGCCCAGTGTTGCCTCTGCCTCCATCCTCTGCTTACGTGCTAATAAGAAATATTATCCCCTTACAGAAGGGCCGCGGGGAGGAGACAAGCCAGTCAGGGTGCAATGTAGCAATGATGAAACATACAACTTACCTCTAGTTCCTAAATGCTTCCTCCCCACCCACTATAATGATCCCAATTCTACCTTACAAAGCTGGCTAGACCAGAGGATGTACACTGGTACAGACAGGAACTGGAAACACAGGGAATCCAGGGCGGATGATCCCTTCAGGACCAGTGGTGAGAGTGGCGATACCGGGAGAGTGGAGGGAAGGTGGGGTGGAAAGGGGGAACCGATTACAAGGATCTACATTTGACTTCCTCCCTGGGGGACGGACAACAGAAAAGTTGGTGAAGGGAAACGTAGGACAGGGTAAGATATGACAAAATAATAATTTATAAATTACCAAGGATTCATGATGGGGGGCGGGGAGCGGGGAGGGAAGGAGGGAAAAAAATGAGAAGCTGATGCCAGGAGCTTAAGTGGAGAGCAAATGTTTTGAGAATGATGAGGGCAATGAATGTACAAATGTGCTTTACACAATTGATGTATATATGGATTGTGATAAAAGTTGTATGAGCCCCTAATAAAAAGATTGAAAAAAGAAATATTATAATCTAATTAACACATTTTCCTCATGAAGAAAGGGAAATGAATGCTGGCTTCCTATACTAAAATATGACAAATATTTGTAAAAATATGGCATTTTCTTAGGAAAAAAAAAGTGACCACCCAATTTAGGCATGTATCAAGGACATCTTAAAACATAACTTGGGTTTTAAATTTTATATTAGGTCATTATGCAGAGATATCTCAAGCATTTTCAAAAAGTTTACTGTTCGGGTTTTATCTCGAAGGGAAAACATTGGCGTAACACCTAAGTCACTGGTCGCAGGGAAGCTAACGGGGAAAGGGCTGGGTGTGAAGGTGCTTTCATTCTACTTGGGCCTTCTGATGCCAATTTTGGATTCCACCGCCTCTAGTCCTTAAATTGACACAGTTATTTCTGGGAAGTGGTGAGAAGCTTCAAACCTAAAAGAAGTTGTCAGTGAAGCTTAGTATTGTGTTTATCTTCTTATGGACGTCCAACAACCTTTCAGATTCTACAAGAATATGTGCTGAACTTCTGAATTGTTTCAACTCAATGCCCTTTATATGTCTTTTGAATGCATTGTATCAAATCGTTTAGGGGACTATCAAGTCACCTAGTTCTAAATCAAGCCCACTTGCTCCAGTTCTCATGGGGAGTCTGAGGCTCAGACAAGTAGCTCAGAGGCTTGAGTTTGTGTCTTCATCACGTGTGTAAGAAGATAGCAAAAGGCAGCAGTGGAAACATTTCCTAGGTTTGAGCAAAGAGATGGTTAAGATCTTACTGCATTTAGAAATTACTCAGTAACTAACACCTCGATTGTCTAGTACACGTATTTGCCCCTGCCTTCAGTGGTATAAGAACCCTGGTGTCACAATGTCTAAAGTTCTGGGCTACTAACAGTTGAAACCTACCGTCTACTCCGCCAAAGCTGCAACAGCCCACTTCTCCTAAGGTAACAACCTTGGTGGGCGTGGGGGTGGGGGGTGGCTAACCTTGAATGCCTGTGGGACAGTTCTTCTCTACCCTGTAGAGTCATTAGGAGTGGAAATTGACTCCATGTCAATATGGTTCTTATTGGACTTAGGTTCTATTTAATTTTCTTTTGGTTTAGTCAGTTCAGTTTTCATAGTTTCCTGCTTATACATCTCAAATATATTTCATATTATCTTAAGTGAGATAAACACCATAGAAAAGTATACTGACTATCTTGATTATATATATGGATCCTGGTTGGCTTATTCTAAGGAATACTATTGCACTACTAACCTCAAGGATAGCATTTCAAACCCACCAGGAGGGAAGGAAGTGGCTGTGTGCTCCCATCAGTTTACAGTCTCACAACCCCTAATGGGTCAATGAGAGTCAGACTTGATTCAGTAGCAGTGCGTTTGATTATATCTAGTACATATTTCTTATAAATGATTACCTAACTAATTATAACTAATTTCATTATAATTAATATTTTAAGAGTCCAGTTCCTTCCCTGTATAAGTGGATGAAATTAGTTTAAAACAATTTCAAAACAAACTCTTAGAAGTAGTAGCGTTTACAATATTTATTTTTTGAATGTGTTATTTTGTTCTTCCTTGAAGTCATCTAAGTCTGTCTTCTTGACCCTGTATCTGCATCAAAAGTAACCCCTTATTTGTGCATTAATCTCCACTGAAAAGGTTCTTTATTTGTAAATTAATACAATTTAAACCAAGCTGGGAAAAAAAATGTAGGTCTGCGTTATTGTTCATTATTTTAAATGTAAGAATTCTTCCGAGGGAATAGGTTGAGAATATAATAAATAACTTCTTTTGGTACCCAGGGTCAGTGGCTTGTTCCTGGTTTTAGAAAATTGAATTAACGGCAAGTGATAAGCTTACAACAAACACTTTTCTCTTTCAGGTCAATTTTAAACACTTCTCTCTTTCAGGTTAATTTGTTATTTAATGAGATTTAATTGATTACGTTTTTTTTTAACTTACTTTTTAAAAAATAAATGCTTTTATTCGGGGCTCTTACAGCTCTCATCACAATCAATACACTCATTCATTGTGTCAAGCACCCTTGTACGTATGTTGCCATCATCATTTTGAAAACATTTTCTTTCTACTTGAGCCCTTGATATCAGCTCCTCATTTTCCCCCTCCCTTCTCCACCCTCCCTCCCTCATTAACCCTTAATACATTATAAAGTATTCTTTGTTCCCTCTTCCTCCTCCCCCCACATATCGATCAGTGTGAGATAATTGATTATCTTTTAAAAAAGCTAGAAAAAAGACCATGTTTATAGTACAGTATTAGCACACCATTTCAATAACTTTCTTACGTGTATGTGTATTTTGCCCTGAAATTATTGATGAAGCCAAATACAATAAGAGAGCTTGTATAACTCCAGGAGTTGTGGATATGAAATTTTGAAAAAAATTAATATTACTACATTTTCTAATTCTATACTAATGGCAGATATGACTTGCATAATAAAAAAATATCTACAGCCTCTATAAAAGAAACAGCTATGACCCAGGCTTCAAAATCTATTTGAAAGATGTAAAAATAAAACTATAGTGAAACATTGCAGATATAGTTTTATTATGAATGGAAATTTAAAATAATAAATTAAACAAATATAATTCAAAAATTATATCCTAACACAAAATATAATAACGTATTTATTATGTGTTAGAACTATTAACTAAAAAGTGATAATTTGACTAATTTCCCAGATTGATATACTAGTATATTTTTAAATAAGAAATAATTCACTATATACTAAAAGTTAAACTTTTCCATATTTGCATTTTATTTATCTATTTGATGTTTAAAATTTTATAAGACAGTTTAGTTTTTTTTTAATAATTGGGATCTAATACATACATGCCATCATTCCGTAGTTCTATCATGACTAGAATTGAACAATTGCTCCCACAATCAGTTTCCAGATATTCTTTGTCTTCGTGGACTCCTTGACATCATCTCCTTTGACCCCACCTCCTGCTTTGTAGAACCCTCCTCCTGAAACCCTCATCTAATGTTGCTCCGATAGGGTCATCAATCCTGGGTTTTGTATACTGATACATGGGAAGTGATTAAGTCGATTCTAAATTAATAGTAGAAATGACCGAAAAAGTACATCACTTTAACTCTTTTTTATTTCTTTTTTCTTCAGAGTTCAGATATGAGCCCAGCCAGTAGCAGCACATCACTTCCTGTTAGTCCTCTTACAGAAGAGCCATTGACTTTCAAGGTAAAACATAAACCAAAAATGTTTCAATCTTCTTAAGATAATTAAATCATAATGGTTAATTTAAAAATAGTTTTATCTTAAAAGATGCTGTGAAGGTCTTCCTACTCAAGTGACTGTCAAATAATGATTTTCTACCTCTCATCATTCTGTGTGCCAAATAGTAATAAAGGTTTGAAATCCAAACCAATATTTTTTGAAATATGTTGCTTTACATAAGAGGCACACATCTTATTGTAATAGTTTGATATCATACAAATAAGAACCTTAGCATCTTTTATGTTTGTTGATTCATGAAATAAGTTTAGAATGAATAATTCACTCTCCATCTAAAAATCACATTCCCCTTAGAAATTCAATGGTACCAATAATTGCTTGCCTAATATTTGTAGCATAATAGTTTAAATAAAACCATGGATAAAGCAGTCCCCAAATACATAATATTTATGAAAAATGTATGAAAAATAGGGTTATTCCATATAGGAGGTTTTACATACGTTACAAATCTGAAGATTTTCTTATTTTGCTTTGTAAGATTTCTGGTTCCTTTTAACCTTAAATTTATAGATAGCCATTTTAGGCATATACCATAGATACTTAGATTTTCTTAAAATTATTATAAATAGTAGTATTTCTTCAAACCGTGAAATATAATGTGAATGTATTGAATGCAGTGATTTTGGCATATTTTGGTATAAAAACATGTAGACACACATTTTGAGTTCACTGTGATATTCATATCTTAAGGAAATGTGATATTAATTTTTTCTCATCTTAGAACTATGACTTATTCAACTTAATATGGTAGATGACACGATTTCAAGGTGCACAGTATTTGCTGTATTGCTGAAGTGAAAATTACAGGGGGCTATGAATTCCATTGACTAGAGAAAGATGAGGCTTACTGTGGAAAGCCCTCGGGGACTGTTCTGCTCCATCTTATGGGCTGTGATGAGTGGGAATCCACTGAGTGACAGTGAGTTTCATTTTTTTCCCCTTTTGACAAATTTCATTGAGGCTGTCCAGTTCCTTATCTATAAATGCTTTTTTCCTTAATGATAGCCAGTAATAGTTTTTAACAGCTCACTTCTATGCCAGGATATTGTTAAATATTAACAATCTTCTAATTATATAAAAAAAGACTTTGATTTATTAATTCAACAGCAAAATGTAATATTTCAAAGTTGAGTGTTACTTGGTATTTCCCTCTTATAGTGCATGCATGGAGAAAATCAATAAAGCCATCATATAGTTAGAAAGACTTTTTTTTGTTTTTTTATTTAGTTATTTATTTTTAAAGATCATTTTATTGGGGGCTCTTATAGCTAACAAGACTTTTATTGAACTTTCAAAACTTCATCAGAAGCAATTCTCCTTCTAATCGAAAATAATGAATTCTTACCTTGAAATGTAATGTATTTTTTAAGAGCAGTAAATTTAAAGTTTAGGTCTATTGCAGTATTCGCTGATGTAGAACTAATATGCATGTCGTTATTTTAGATCCTTTAATAGGATATAAGAGATCAATGTTTTCTCCCTGTACATACTTTTAAATATTTTTATAAGAAATTAAATTACCAGTGCATGTTATTGACTTTTGATGCCCAATATAGCAGTAATATTCTTATTTTACTCTTTTGTGAAAAATAAATATATAGGCTTCTAAAATTTGTTGGGGGAAATGCCATGACCTTTTACATCAAATGTCCAAGAACTTATAATTTATAACTCCATATATTAGAATATCCCACTACTTTTTAGAAGTTTATACCATCAAATTTTGAAATTACGAAATCAAACTTCCGCATTTACTTCTACTTTTTTGTTTATAAGTTAGTTATTATATAAAATAAATGTTTTCAATATAATTAAATCACAATGGTTAATTTTAAACTAGTTTTTGCATAAAACTCTTTTTATCCACAGTTCCTCAGTCAGTTTGTTGTAATGAGTTTGGCTGTGGTGCTGGTATTTCAAATACTAGTAGAGCATCCCATGGAGAACAGGTTTCCACAGAGCTTCCAAACTAAGGGGCATTAGGAAGAAAGTAAAAGCTGTCCAGTTCTGAAGTATTAGCCACTGAAAACCTTATTAATAGCAGCAAGAGCACTGTCGTATTTAGTCAATAAAGGTGAGTTTCTCAACTTACACGCCCTCCATGTGCTGGGAAAGCGCTGTCTCCTCCATTAGAGTTGGCCTGAAGGAAATGAATGGATCAAAGCTTTCAGGACCTTTATTTACAGATGGGGTGCCACGCAAAATGAGAAGACACAGATGCAAACATCCGTAAATAATCAGAAAGTGAAATGTACAAATATTGTAAATTGAAAGTCATCAGAAATGATCAATATCCTAATCATCAATCAGCTGAAATCGACTGGCATTGACGTTTGGGGTCGGGCAAGCATACGGCCGACAACGTCAGAGAAGAAGAATGGAGAGAGGAATGTCACCACATGAAGTATCCAGAGGGATCTTTTAAGACTGTCTTGAAGAACAATATCATCTGGGATAGGGTAATACCTATATGCCTATCAAATTCATGCACAACAGTAATGCTAGTGAAGAAGAAATGAAAGGATTTTACCAATATCTTCCGTATGAAACTGATCAAACATACAATCAAAATTCATCGACAATGGTGGGCCATTGAAATACAAAATTGGCAGTAAAACAGGAAGGATCACCAGTTGGAAAATGTGGATGAACATAAAAAAGAAGCTGAAGATGACATGATGGAATTTTGCAAGATGAAAGAATTCCACATCTCAAACACCTTTTTTAAAACAACATAAATGGCTGCTATCGGACATCACCAGATGAAAAAGACACGAACCAAATTGATGACATCCGTGGGATGTGAAGAGCTCTGTTGGCAGTGCGGGTTCTGTGCTGAGCCTCCAGGCTGGTGGCTCAAACCCATGGCTGCTCTGAGGGAGAAAGATGTGGTTCACAGGGGCAGTTCTACTGTGTCTCATAGGGTCACTACCAGCTGGAACTGACTCAATGGCAGCGAGTAAATTGGAAGAGGCAATGGGGAAACTGAATATTATCACTGAAAAAAAAGCCAGGTGATTAATATGGGAAAGACCATCAAGTGTAATACTCTGTTCATGTAACTACATAATGTGTAATGTATGTAATTTTATATTTGTATACATATATAAGGTTTATAGTTGATATATAATTATATATAACTATGAAATACACAATGTATAGAATATGGAATGTACAAAATGCTAACATAGTTATATAATATATATAAAACTATATTTTATAAATTACTGGATAATTTCTCTTTTTTTCAAATTATAATATAGATAATTTATCTATTTTCTGATTTGCCCTTATTGACTATGTGAAATAAATAGTGTAGAGGGAAAATCAGAAAAGAGACACTATCAAGCATCAATGCTTTGGATAATTCATACTTTTTAAAAAAGATTATTGTATTGACCACTTATTTCTGTTTTAAGAAAATCATATACGTTTAGTAAAACAGAGAAGAGTTAGGAACTGTATTAGTCTAGGTACTTTGGAGAAACAAATCCACAGCGACTCATGTATAAGAGAGAGTATTATGTAAAGAAAAGGTGCATCATGAAAACATCCCAACCCAATGCTGCCCAAGCCCACAAGTCCAACATTAACCCATTAACCCAACACCAGTCCACAAAGTCCTCCACCTCACAAAACAGAGGCAATGATGCCGACTGCAGTAGGAAAGCTGAGTCAGTGAACGGATAAGCAGCTCAGCACTAGCAGGGGTCTCCACACGGCTGCTCCAGCACCCAGGGCTGCATTGGGATAGGTCCATGTAGCTTCTCCTTTGGGATGTCTTGTAGGAAGTCAATCTTGCAAGCTGAAGCAGGGAACTGCTAAGGCAGCTGCACCCTGGTGCGACCATCACAAAACAAGAGACCCGAGAACTCGAAAGGCGAGGCTTCACCACCCATTTATCCCTCCGCCTTTCAACCAGCCCCACATGTGATGATCGGCCAGGCTGGCACAATTAACTAACTCAATCCACCCCTTGCCAACCTGGCACCTGTATATAATTCCTACCTTCACAATTGCAATTAATACCTATACCTTAACCCTATAATCCTGTGAATTTTTTCCCTTACCTATGAAAATTTGTAAGCCAACCACTTCATGCCTTTATCTCCCCTAATTTTAGTTATCCAATTTAGGAACCTTGGTGAGTTAGGAGATTACATTGGACTGAAACCCAGTTCTTCCACTTACTGCATGACCTTGAGCTCATTACTTCCTGCCTCCTTTTCTCCAGGCACAGGAGAAAATCCATGTGTATGCTGATAAGTGGTAAATGCTTGGTGGGGACAGCAGTAATTTTGGTCTAATTGATCGACTAATATATCCACTATCCACTGCCAATGATCCAATTCCATTCCTCAGGGGCCCTATCTTGGTTTTGGAGACTGTCAATCTTTAGGAGAACAAAGAGCCTCCTCTGGCTCTTGAGGAGCACAGGCAGGTTTGAAGCTACTACTATAGTTGTATATGTGGGATTTCTCTAAATTTAAATCACGTAAGTCCTATCTGTTGTACATAACAACATGAAAGAAATCATAGTACTCAACCACTTTTATTTTATTTTCCAATGTGAGTGTAGACATGTGTTTTAACCATACCTCTTTTACTACAATGATTATTAATGCTTAACATTCATTTCTAAAAATCATGTTATTCATTTTATAATCATGAGTATTCCGTTATGCTCCAATGTCAGATTCATCTTGTAAAAATGAGTAAATATAATGAATTTGTCTTAAGGGAAAACCAGTAAATACAATTAAATGCTGTTTGGAAAAAACAACTCCTCTCACAATAAGAACATATGGGATCTTTTCATAAAAAATACAACACAGGAAAAATTTCTATAATTCCCCAAACCCCATTGTAAGATCATCTCCTAAATGTACATCTTCCTTTCATAGGATATAGTTTCAGCCTATCAGAATACTGAGAAAAAATGTCTT